ACCCACCAATATTAAATAACTGCTCTCTCTCCTTCAGTGACAACGCCAGGTATTTGGGGTTAGTATTAGATAAGCGTCTGACAAGGAGACTAAACAGCCAAGAGAGAACGAGGAAGGCAACAATTGCCCTCTACTCCTGCAAAAAGGCCATCGGAACGAAATGGGGCATGTCCCCAAAAATCGTCAACTGGATACACACAGCGATAGTTAAGCCTATTCTGCTCTAGGGAGTGTCAATATGGTGGCCCGCGCTAATGAAGCAGACAACCACAACAAACCTAAACAAGGTACAACGAATGGCATCCTTATGCATAAGCGGAGCCCTTCGCACCACCCCCAACGAGGCGCTAAATGCTATTCTGAACCTTCCAAGTCTGGACTTAGCCGGCATGGAACGAGCTAAGATAGCTGCGGTTCGGATGAGGGACTTAGGGCAGTGGAAACCCCAAATATACGGTCATGCCAGGATACTCCAGCAAGACACAATGATCCCACCCAGTACAGATCTATGCAAACCTATTGAATACATCCACACCCCCTTTGAAGCATTGCTACCAACCAGAGAAGACTGGGAGCAAGGCCAGCCGGGCCCTACAGAGGCAGTCAATTTCTACACTGACGGCTCAAAATTAAATAATCAAGTCGGAGGAGCTATATACTCCGAACAACTTAATATCAGGAAATCCTTCAGACTTCCGGATCACTGTAGCGTCTTCCAGGCGGAAGTATTTGCCATAATTGAAGCTTTGATGCTTCTGAACGATGCAAACTGTCAGAATAAACTGATTAACATCTATAGTGATAGTCAGGCGGCTATCAGGTCGATTATCTCGACCAATACAAACTCCCACACTATATCAACCTGCCGCAAATCTCTGCACGAGATGGCTCTGCAGTTTAAAATTTACCTGATATGGGTCCCGGGTCACCGGAACATTACAGGCAATTGTATTGCAGATGAGCTGGCCAGGCATGGCACTACCGTCCCGCTCCTTCCGGACTAGGAGAACACTGGTATGCCGATGGCCACCTGCAAGCTTAACATTAAAAACCAATATAAGAAACTTGCGAGCCTAGCATGGACACATGTTAAGCACTGTCGCATCTCTCGCGAGACAAGGCCAATCATTGACGCGAAGAGAACTTCGGAACTATTAAGACTAAACTGTACCGAGTGCGGAATGGTAATACGAGTGTTAACAGGCCACTGGTTGGTTGGCACACACGCAAGCAGATTGGGCGCTCCCCGAAATGATTTCTGCAGAAGCTGCAGGGACGAGGAGGAAGAGGAAACGATGGAACACCTGTTCTGTTCATGCCCGGCCCTGAGCAGATCTAGACTGTACCACTTAGGGAATCCCTTCATGAGCAGTCTATCTGAACTGGCGAACATAAACCTAAAACGAATAATAAAATTCATTAATGCAACCGGATGGGAATTATGCTAAGCCAGCTGCAATAAAGGCAGCAGATTTTCAAGAAAGGGGATACAGATCCACGCGGTACCACAATGGACCTTTTAAGGACTAAGTGTGTCAATGATTTGGCAGCCGCTCTAACCTAACCTAACCTAAGGCTTTAGAAAATGCAAGGCTTGTGAAATTTGGAAACATATCGGAATTACAAAAACAAGTGGAATTGGTTAATTTAGTTGGCACGGTGGGAGATATGCGAGATGATATTGACTTTCTATTGCAATCGGAGCAAACGAGGGACGAAGTTATAAGTAAAATACGAGACGAGTTAGCAGAACGACAAGTGAAAAGTTTTGTTTTGATAGATGGTGTTGTGTATCACGAAGATACGAACCAGAATAGGACTTTGTATGTTCCATCAAGTATTCCAGATGATTTAATTAAGTTGTCCCATGAAACACTATGTCATTTAGCTGCAGATAAGTGCTACAATAATATGAAGGCTAAGTATTGGTTTCCTTTAATGAGAACGAAAATAGATGAGTTGATTCGAAATTGTTTGAAGTGCATTTTACATTCTGTCCCAAAGTCAGTTAACAATAGAATTACCCAAAGTGCCGATTCCATTTGATACGATTCACGTTCAAAAAGGAAACATTTATTAGTAGTAATTGACTCATTTACAAAGTTTGTGAAGTTATTCCCTATAAATTCTACAAGTACACGTGAAATAATTGCGAGTTTAAGTAAATATTTCGAATTTAATAGTAGGCCACGCGGAATTTTTTCTGATAGAGGTGGTTGCTTTACTTCATCAGAGTTTAGTGAATTTTTAGCGGAACGTAATATTGGTCATATAAAAGTGGCGACATGTGTCCCCCAAGCAAACGGACAGGTTGAGAGAGTAAATCGAGTGCTGACACCGACTTTAGGAAAATTTACTAATCCAATTCATCAAGCTGAGCATAGGGAAGGTTCTGCCCATCTTCTGCTCGCTCACGTATAACGTACATGTTCGTGTGACTTCGGCATGGGTCTTTGGGTCATTTTTGTCTCAACTTCGGCGCTCTTTTTTGTTGCTGCGGCAGAGGATCTCAGTGCAAAGCAGAGAAACGTCTCGCTTCAGCAAGCCGCGCGCAAACTTCGTGTTTGTTACACTCACACTAATGCAAGGCAATCTTGTGATGGTATGTGTGTGCCGACCACTCCCTGCAGTACCATTCAGCGCTTATTGAGCACTCAATCACTGCAAAAAGCTCATCACTGAGCGCTCAATGAGCGCACAATTTGTATGGAACTAAGTGCTTAAATTAACATAGGCATGTCCTAGGGTTCATCAGTGCTCAAAAAATAGCACGCATTGAGCGCTTTTTTGAGCACCCTTTTGAGCGCTTTTTTGAGCAGCAGAAAAAGCACACGTTCAGCACATGTTGAGCGCTCGATTGAGCAGCGGAAAAAGCACACATTCAGCATATGTTGAGCGCTTAGCAGCAAAAAAAATTTCAGTTGTAATTTTTATTTTTATTTGTTTATTTTAAAATTTGAGCTCGGGGGTTTCCGGTGTTATCGGGAGGCTCCGAGGGATAAAAACTTACTTAATAAGTCTCTTCTTGTTTTGCCCCCCCTCCAAGTTGTGGGACAGAACAAGTTCTTCGGATAATATGCTTAAGATGGAACGACTTAGCCTTCCATTTTTTTTATAGATTTACCATCAGCCTTGTCTAAAAATATAAGAAAACTAAAATAATATCGAGAAGAAATTTGCAAACTTTTGTTTTCGGTCACTTGATTTATTTTATTTTGTTGTAAAAAATTATTTATGTATTTTTTTATTGTTTATTAAATCATTTATTTATTTTGCAGATGCGGAAAAAATACCACTTTTCCAGGGACGGAAAATTAGAGATGTTTGAGATTTTTATTTAAATAGCCATGTTTGTTTACTTACACAAAAATGAAAATTGTGCTTTAATGTTATTAATACAAAAAATCATAAGTTATAAAAACAAACATCTCTTATTTTTGGTCCCTAGAAACTTAGCACTCAATAAGATTTTCAAATTTTTTCACAGATTCATTCATTTGTTTATTTATATGCATCGTTTGTTGTTTTTCACTTAAAAAATTAATATTTTTCACAGCTATTTTTTTTCCGCCACGTGTTATTTTGGGAATTTTCTATTTTCCATTTTTTCAATATACTTTAACTTGTTTTTACTCTCACTGATTAAATAAATATTGGTCTGCGACGGACTTACCTGGGAATCGTATAGGTATTACTTTTAAACCACTGGCTTATTGTATTTAACTACGTTAATTGCGTGCAATTCTAACTCCTTCACATAAGTAAACGCAAGTGAAAAAGACGACGTCGCGTGCCTTCCAGAAAAATAACAAGCAACAACAACAACGGTTCCGCTAATCCGTTGTTGTTCTTTTTTTTTGGTATGTCCCGTTTGGTCTATACATCTTGCACATAAAAGCAGGGTATTTATAGACATATCCGACTATGCAAATCGGTTTATAAAAATATATTCTTAAAACCTCACATATTATTAAATAATATTAATAAACCTATACATTTTTTTGGGAAATACAAACATTTTAAAACGAACAAATGTCGCATTATTCAAAAGGCAAGGGTGCACAAAAGTCTATATATTTTAATTGCTGGGGTTCCTTCCCTTCACTTGCTTTTTTCCGTCTGAGACATCGCGAAAGAGGGAGAGCCCAAAATTACTTTTTGTGCGTTCTCTTTGCGGACCCGACTGAGAGCGCATCGCTTTGCCGCCGTTGCGCTCAGCTCTGCTGGCGTCGCTGGCTTCTCTGCCGACGTCGCAGTCGGCTTCGTGATGATTGGGCGCTTAACTCAATTGTGGAACTGCAGGGCTGGTATAAACATATAAATAAGATTGAACACGCGATCAACAATTCAGTCCATTCTAGTACATTAAAAAGACCAAGCATGATCCTCTTAAGAGTTGATCAAAATAGTCCGATAGTTGATGAATTATATGAGTATTTAGATGATAAATTAAATAAAGACAAAAGGATAGATTTAAAAGATATTAGATATAAAGCAAATTTAAAGATTGTAGAGTCTCAGAAACTAAATGAAATTATTAAAGCAGCTAAACAGAAATCACCATTGAAATATAGCGTTGGATATTTTGTGGCAATAAGAAATATAGACGTAACACCTGGCACTTGTAAAAAATTTGCGCCTAATATAAATAGAGTTTTTGACAACGATAGGTATCAAGTAACAGATATAGATAACTGTCAATTAACTCAGTTACCTTATAAAGGGATCTTAGAAGCTGGAAGGTTAAAACCATGGCAACAAATATTAAAGAAGACTGTAGCATTATGTACATAATTTTGATCGAGGTCGATCAATATGTCAGGTTGACCGAGTTGTAAGCATATGTGAATAAATACTAAATAGTATTAAGTGTGAACATAATGTTATATTTTGCATTATATTTTAGTGTGTACTTTCTATAACGTAACTTTATATTAAGCATCGATAAGATAACAGATATCGATTACATGGTGAACTCCATGGTCGAGATAAATAGGCCACTTGTAAATGTTACGAACTGCTTTTTTTGGGTGGCAGTGCCGCTAGCTCAGTCTTTTCTCAGTGCAGAGTTCCCCTAATGCCACAGCTCGCAACATAAATATCGATAACTCCACTGTCTCACATTAACAAACTATCGGTCATCACTAAGAACAAAAACGCAAACAAAGGTAAATACCTGCAAGTATTGACGGGAAAATCGGCTTCATTTGGTGGCTATTGATGACCTAGCCAAGCGCTCCCACCCAACCATGGATGCCCTCGAGGTGCTGCAGGGCACCACCCATTCTCTGTCGGCAGGAGCCCCCTCCTCGCTACTACGGCGGTTCCATCTCCCCCACTGGGAAAGCTTACTCACACATTGTGGGTTTTACAAAGGTTTAATAAATACCGTAAGTACAATCGTTTATATACATGGTCCTCTTAACAGATTTATCCTTCCTCAGCCTTTAAGACCGAAACCTGGCCGCCGTCTCAAATGTTTACGCGGTCGAAGCAGAGGATTAGGTTTTGCTGGAAAAGGGTACAGGCGTAGAGATCGCATGGAAACGCGGCCCTCAACGGAAAATACGCGCGCGTGTGTATGGTCACCTAATCCTGAGGAGCTCCAGGGGAAAAGAAGGGACAGGCCAAAAAGGTACGTTACTGCACTGTAAGCTATACCATTTAACTAATGCTGGCGACCTTTTTAAGTTTAGGCAAACAACGAGGACAAATAAGGCTCTCGGGTCTAACTCCGGATAAATTCACAAACAGGAAAGTAAATATCAATATATATATATATATGTAATCAAGGTACACGTGTATTTAATTTTTCCCGAGATGAGGTGGACGCGGTACACCGGAACGGACTCACAGGGAAATGTTTGATGTCGTCGGCGTTGATTGTGAAAGGCTTTTCAGGCTGGTCGTTGGTACGGGTCGAACGGACACCGGTTGCTGGGCAGCCTAGTCGGGCTGGTAGGTATGGCGAAGTCGCGCAGACATCAGTGAACTCCCAAATAAATATTCCGGGGCCCTTTGTGTTGGGACCCCGGCTGCTATTTAATTTTAAGCACAAAAAAAAATGTATAGTATCACTGCTAGCTGCATCTGCCTGGTTGGACAGTATGGCTGCGACTATCTCGATATCTGCTGATCATCGTTCATACACCCCGCCATATTACATGGCCTCTCTCAAAATTGGGTCATTGGATACATGGGTCCATTTAAAGTAATCCCAGAGCGAACCGGGATTAATCTTCAAATGGCCAGATCGCCCGCCAGACTCATCCCGCTGCTGCAGCTATCGACCTAACCTATCGATAAGGTCGCTCCCATTCGACTCCAATAGCAACAAATAAAAGAAGAAGAGAGAACACGCGGAAGTTATGCATGATAAATCAATATACATAAGAGTTGCTGATTTAGAATTATGGAGCTTAGCGAGTTATTCGAAGTAGGTCACATATCCTATATACTGAAATTATGAATAAAACTAGTCTTAATTATAAAGGGACACAAGGGAAATAAAGATATGCGAGACTGAAATGCGCCTCCTACCCCTGATCTCAACATATGGTTATGTGGGCGTTAGACAGATTTAAGCGTTATGCGCGTTAGAGTGGGAGTGGCAAACTTTTTTTTGATCCATCGATAGGTATTGACGAGACTAATACAATTCAATTAAAATTTCTTATGAAGAATAAAAATTGTGGGCGCCACAGGCTTGGGCGGTATTCGCGTAACAAACTTGCGCTGGGTGCAAGGCTACGAAACCTAAATCTGAAATCCCAATTCTCTACCTTTTAATAGTTTCCGAGATATCCGCGTTCATATTTACGATTTTTTTAAGTATGTGCGCACCTTGTGGGCGTTATAGTGGCCGTGGCCAATCGGGTCAATCGATAGGTTTTAATGAGAAAAAAACATTTCAGTTAAAGTTTTTATTTTAGCATCAAATCTGTAGGAACCACAGTCTTGGGCGGCTTGTGGGCGTTAGAGCTAGATTTTTCGGAAAATATGTAACAGGCAGAAGGAAGCGTTTCCGACCCCATATATGAACGCGGATATCTCGGAAACTATCAAAGATAGAGAATCGGGATCTCAGATTTAGATTCCGTAGCCTTGTACGCAGCGCAATAATGTTACTGTGGTATGCACATATCAAGAGCTCTCTGTGGTCAGCATAATGTCCAGTACTTCTTATATACCAATAAAAATAAATACTTTAAGCCAAAGACACTTAGTCTTTGGGGCCTAAACATAGGACATATTCAAGTGCACCGAAATATGATCAGCCAAGAATGCAACAGCTACAACAAGTCGCGTCAGCATGTGTCCCGTTCAGTGACCGTTTGCATAAGATATATATGCGGACAACACGCTCCGTTCTCACCAGCGCCTTTTTTCACCGCTTACATATAAGCAATAGATATTCGTTTCTATAAAACGACTTATATACAAAAGGCAGTGCTGCCCCAGAGGACAGCGCCGGCCTAGGCCTAATCATAAAAGAACATTTTGAATAGTGTCGGAAACGATAACAACAGTCGCTCCTGACTTAATAACCAAACTACACGGCTCTTTAAAAAAGTAATCAAACTATGTACATGGCGACCGCGACTTTGTTCCAAATGGACCTGTACCTGGACTTAGCCCAATAAGCAACGGCAACAACGGCAGGAACGGCAATAACACGAGCAACAGCAAGAAACGCAGTGAGTAGTGTTTGATGAGTGCCAAACGTAGTGACTTATGTAGGGGTATAATATATTCCCCCGAAGTTAAACACCAACACAAATATATGTACTTCTAGTCTTTACTTTTATTTTATAATTTCGTCTGTTCAGGATCACGGTCGGCGTTCAACTGCCCTCGCTCTTAGCTCACGATCCGCATCAACCCCCGAATCATTGGGAGAGTGTGAGAGCGATGAGAGAGATAGAGAACAGTGAGCGGCATCGTACAACAACAACAACTTATTCTTAGAACGTACAATAATGATCCAGAAGGAATACAACAACACATACATACATACTACTACGTAGCAATCCTGCTACAATGCGGCCGTCCTGACATTTTAAGATCCCCTGATCTTGTGTAAATTTACAATTGATTTCAGCTTATATATATCTTAGTTAGTTTTAAATTTACAAATTCTTAAATATATTTACAACTTCATTTCATTTTCGCTTTCCAATCCAATGCTTAATATTTTGGCTACTCCAGACATCTTGATAAGGGCAACGCGATAATTGAAAACCCTCAACATCTTTTATCAAGTATCTATCAAAATTATCAAAACTTTATCTGTAACATAAGGACCCTTGTGTTTAGGTATCAGCTTTCTTGCGACTCCTACTGAGCTATCAAAATTTTTTACCATATTATAGTCTCCCACTTTGTACTCCGAACTCTTTGTCCTTTTGTCATTATATCTTTGTTCGTTGCCTTTTTGTAATTTTCTTTGCGCTTCTGAACCGTCTTTTCCAATTTTGTCTAAATCTCTAACATCACTTACATTACCTAATTCTTTTAACTTTTGTCTCAATTCATCAATAACTTTTCCTTTCTGCTCGATTCCAAACAACATTTTACTTGGCATTTGTGCTATGCTTCTTTGCTTTGTGTTGTTCAATGAAAACTCAACATCCTCCACAACTGTGTCCCAATGCATTGGCCTCACAATTCGGTAAATCCTTTTACTTGCCCATTGGCTTGAGGTGACCCAGTCGCAATTTTGACATGTTTAATATTACATTCTTCCATATATTTTCCAAAATCTTCCGACGTAAAACAGCTTCCCCTATCCGAAACTATACAAGTTGGTCTGCTGTAAGACCTAAAGTAGTCTTTCAATGCTATAATAACTTCCTTTGTGTTCGTCGTTTTTGTTGCATATAGCCTAACATATTTAGTAAATCCGTCTATCACCACAAAGATATGTTTCTTTGCCCTTCCATTATCAACCGGTCCATAGTGATCAGTATGTATAATTTCGAATGGCACATTTCCTTTTGGTATACTGTGCAACAGTCCTTCCCCTTTCCCTGTCTTTGGCGAATATGCTACACATCTTATACAATTTTCAATATGTCTAACCACTTTCTCTTTCATATTCGAAAACCAATACGTCCCAACAATAGCATCCATAACTTTATCTCTACCTAAATGACCTAATTCATTGTGATATTTGTATAGTATCTTTTCTTCCATTTCTTCTGGGACACAAAATAACAACTTTCCATTATTCGACTTTCTGTATATAACTCCATTCCTCATCTCAAACATTTAACTTCCTCATTTTCTATCTTTTTTTCTAACATCTTTTAATTTTTCATCTTTCGCTTGACAAATAATTAAATTATCTTCAAAGCTCTTCGTTTCTACTACCATTATGTTTGTATTTCTACTTAACGCGTCAACATGTTGCATAAGTTTTCCCGATTTATGAACTAATTCAAAGTCATATTTCATCATAATTCTAATGCCCACCGTGCAATACGGGGGCTTAACCCAATTCTATTTAAAGTCAGTGAGTTAAAATCTGTCACTATTCTAGATCATCTATGTTACCCTGTACATAAATTCTAAATCTTCTAAGAGCGTAAATTATTGCTAACGTTTCCAATTCAAAACTATGACACTTTGCTTCGTCTTTTGTTGTTTCTTTCGAAAAATAAAATATAGGATGTAGCTTTTTATCCTCTTTTCTTTGCAGCAAAACTGCCCCAAAGCCTTGTGCACTGGCGTCTGTTTGCAATTCGACCTCGTCCTTGTAATAATATAATATTAACACTGGAGCTTCCACCAACTTTTTCTTAAGCATTTCAAAACATTGCAACTCCTTTTCTTCAAATACAATTTCTTTATCCTTTTTTAACAATTCATATAGAGGTTTAGCGATCATCGAAAAATCTTTAATGAACCTTCTAAAATACGAACACAAACCCAGAAAGTTTCTAACACCGTGTACTTTGTCTGGAACAGGAAAATCTCGAACAGCTTCTATTTCTTTGTCATTAGCCTGTATTCCTTTGTAAGTTACTAAAAATCCTAAGTATTGTACCCTTGCTTGTAGAAACTCACACTTGTCCATTCTCAATTCTAGTTTGTTCCTTGCTAAACGATCAAAAACTTCCCTAAGAACATCTACCATTCTACCATTTCTCTACTCGCAATCATGATATCGTCCATGTATATAACTACCTTACCCTCGCTTATCATGTCTGCAAAAATCTTATTGATAAAGCGTTGAAACACCGCTGGTGCATTCTTTAGCCCCATTGGCATCCGCATAAACTCAAATTGTCCTAATGGCGTCATAAATGAGGTGTATTTTATCGATTCACTATCCACAAACACATGAAAGTAACCATGCTTTAAATCTAACTTTGAAAATATGGTTTTATTTACCAACGTTTCTAATAAATCGTCAATCAAAGGTAACGGATAATTATCTTTAACCATTGTCTTATTAAGCTTTCGATAATCCACACATAGTCGTAAGTCGCCTGACTTCTTTTTAACTAAAACTATTGGAGATGCATACTCGGATTCAATTGGCCTTATAATTCCTTCACTTAAGTATTCATCTAATATCACCTGTAATTTTTTTTTCTGTGTAAGCTAAACGTCTGGGCGAACAACTAAATGGCTTTGAATCCTCCAATCTTAATTTCATTTCGCATCTAACCTCTGGTTCCTTTGGCATTTCTTTATTTACATAACAACTTTCTACCATCTTAACAAATTGACACCTAACATTATAATTCACATGATCACCAACTTTGTACTCTACACTTTCATCCGTTAAATTTAATCAATCAATATAATTTCCTTCCGTAACTTTTACTTTGTCTCTGATTTTACTAAACATTTGTTTAATTGTTTCCCTGCTGTCGCTAATTTCATCACCTAACATTTTATTTTTATCTTTAACATAACTATAACTAACATAACTATTTGCTTTTCATCACTAGCATCATGAATAACTATCTGCTTTTCATCACTAACATCATCACTAACTATCTGCTTTTCATCACTAACATCATCACTAACTATCTGCTTTTCATCACTAACATCATCACTAACTATCTGCTTTTCATCACTGACATCATCACTAACTATCTGCTTTTCATCACTAACATTATTAACATCAGAAGGTTTCTCAATATTCTCAACCGTAACCATTTTCAAGATGTCAAGGCTTAAATTTAAATTACAAGCATCCATAAAATCTCGACCCAGGATTACATCATGACTCATAGATTCGTTTGCCACAATAACTAAATTAAAATGTATTTTATATAAATTTTTCATAACATAACATAATTTTTTTCCATACGTTTTTAGGTAACTTTTGTTTAAACCGTAATATAAACTTCAAACTGGTGATTTTGAAATGTCTTTGGGTACTTTGGATTCCTGTATCTATGAGGCATTCTGCAATTAACCTGGTATTTGATTCGTTTACAAAATTAATTTCAACATATCTTACATAATTATTTTCGCCCTCGTTCTTGTTTTTATTCTTCAAGCATTTCGCA